ATGACTAAGTTGAAATGAGGGTTGTTACAGTAACCTTATCATAAAAAGTAAAAATTTAAAACTTTACCAAAAAATATTTGTAAAACCAGCTCAAAGAAAAATATTTGAATATCATTTGTCATCATTGAATAACAATAATTGTTAATATGACAAATTTATGTACAATACTTTATTATCATTTCATGTGGCACAGTTTTAGTGATTTAATGAGTCCCTCCTCATATTTATTATGAATAAAGTGTTGATAGATAATAATTCAATTTGATATCACCTGTAACTGAGATTTTATGATTGCCGATAAAAAAAATAAAAAAATAAAAAAATAGTTTTTATGATTATAACGTTTTAGATTATTAGTTTGAAAGAATTAAAATAAGTTGTAAATTTATTTGATATATTTTTTTATATTCTTTTTTTTAAGGGGGGAAAAAAAAGAAGAGAGAGAGAGAGGGAGAGAGAGAGAGAGAGAGAGAGAGAGAGGGGTTAAATTTGTTTGGTTACACGTTATGTGCAAATATCTAACATCCACTCAAAAATTATAATTAAAACAAAAAAAATAGAGTTATTTTGTCCATATGTATTAAGAGCCTTTCAAAAATTATATTTTACAACTTAAAAATATTTCTCATTTTTAAAACTTTTCAAATTAGTTGAAAAAATGCAATAAATTATACTAAAATTGCAATCAAACACAATTAGTGAATTTTTTTTATTAAATAATTGATTTATAAGTGTTATCAAAAAGAGACAAAAAATATAAACAAAATATTAAAATTATAAAATTGTCCAATCAAAAGAAAAGGAAAAAAAAAAAAAAGAGACAAACACAAAACGAAGACGAGCAAAAAAGGAAAGGAAAAAGGAAAGTCACAAACACTATAACAGTGTATAGATAACATTGGGTTATGCAGGCTTTCAAAACCACTATCAAGATCAAGAATACTGAATTTGTGGAATACCTACAATAGCAACATGAAAAATGCTTCGACCATGGAAAACACTCAAGGAAGGGAAAGCAATCCAATCCTTTGACCCCCTCTCTTTCTGATTGGCCAGTTTTCTTTTTTCTTTTTCTTTTTTTTCCTTCTCCTCCAATCACCACCCGCCACGTGTGTGTGGGGTGGTGATTGAAGGGGATCTCAATCACATCCCATAGCAACATACCCTCTCCATCTACCATGGAAAACACTCAAGGAAAGGAAAGCAATCCAATCATCAGAGACAAAGAAGAAGAAGATTGCCATGACAATCCACTAGCATTGCTTCCCAAAGAGAAAGGATGGACAGGTCTGGATCTCTATCTGTACCAAGGCTTTTGGTGCCCCTCAATGCATATTCAAGGCGTAATGTCTTTCCAACAACACTTCAAAGCTCAGGACACCAACCTCATACTTGCCACCATGCCCAAATCAGGCACCACCTGGTTGAAGGCTTTGACATTCGCTATCGCCAACCGTCATCGCTACACCAACACGGTTTCCCAACACCCCCTTCTCACTTCCAACCCTCATGAGCTCATTCCTTTTCACAAGATCAATCTCTCCGCTAATAAAGACAGCCATCAAGGCGGTCGTATTCTAAACCTCTCCAACTTTCAATCTAGCATTTTCTCCACCCATATGCCATACCATTCATTACCTAACTCAATCAAGATCTCCAATTGTCACATTGTTTATCTCTGTCGTAATCCCTACGACTCCTTTGTCTCCGCTTGGCATTTCCTCTCTAAGCCTAGACCAGAGAGCATTGAACCTCTATCGTGTAATGATGCTTTTGATATGTATTGTAGGGTGTCATCGGTTTTGGGCCCTTCTGGGACAATGTATTGGGATACTGGAAGGAGAGCCTGAAGAGGCCTCAAAAGGTGCTATTTTTGATGTACGAGGACTTGAAAGAAGATAATTATTTTTCAGATGAAAAGGCCAGCAGAGTTTATGAGCATTCCATTCTCTTTAGAGGAAGAGAGTGAAGGTGTGATAGAAGACATATCGAGGTTGTGCAACTTTAACAATATGAGAGAGTTGGAGGTGAACAAAACTGGTGAATCCTATAGACACTTTGAGAACAAGACGTTCTTCAGGAGAGGTGAAGTGGGTGATTGGATCAATCATTTTACACCTGAGATAGTGGAACGCTTGAACAAGGTCATTGAAGAAAAGTTGGGTGGTTCTGGGGTAGCATTCAAGACTAGTTTGTGAAAATTTACAATGTTTGTTTTGTTGGACAAGATTACCGAAACTATTAAGTCTTGGAATTCCATCTTATCTCATGTTTGTTAGAAATGCTCTCTAGGGATTGGGCTGCTATTTGTCATGCTTAGTGCCGGCTGTGATGTGTTGTAGTTTTGTTTCTTTGCTCTTTAGCTTTGTATTTCTGACTTTGTCGGAGGACTTCTTGTCCTCCCTTTGTTATCATCTTTGTCTCAATAAAATAGTTTTTTTGTTGCTCAAAAAAACTATAGTTTGAGAATATTTTAGTCTTTCAACCCCCTAATCTGGACCCCCTTAATCCTTCCATTCTGTATCTCATCCTCTCCTATAAGACTCAATAGTCGCCTATATGGAGGATATACAGTCCAAAAGGGACTGCCAATCTAGAGGTCCACTTTAACATATAAATGTGAAATTCAAGATCAAGCAAGATATATAATCCAATCCCATGCATTAATCCCCCCACTACCAATATGTAACAAGGATGAATGGACTTACTCTCTAGTTTCAAAAACTAATTGTTCAAAACATAATTTATAATTTCAATCCAAAAAATTTCCAATAAGTTTTTACTTGTGTCTTATGCAAGTCTCCAAAAAATAGTTACTTCAGCAGGTCTAAGCTTATATAATTCCTAGTCTGTTTGTGCTTCTAAGTTATGGTAGAAAATATCCAAACATCATCTTATGTGTTACCATTTCATTGGTTTAATAGGCTCCACCACTCACAGATGTTACCAATGCAGTGAAGGTACATGTAATCATCATCATAACGATATTGGTATGTTAACAACTTAAAACCAGTATTTTCTATCTGATAACTACTTTGATCTTTCTATGTGTGTAACTAAAAACCTCCTCCCCTACCCACACCGGGGGAGAGATTTGAGTCTCATCGCTGCAAATGCAGTTTTCCCTTCCCTTATTTCTCTCCTACCAATTATTAAAAAAATGCATCATAAAACATTTGAGTAATTTTTATTTTTGCTTCCAATTCAAAAGGTGGGCAAAAATCTAATTAAATTAGATTCCAAGATTTTTATTCAACCAATTTCAGTGAGGTTCATTTTAATTTCAATGTCAAATAAAAAAATGTGTATTATTTAAATTTGATAGAAAGACAAAAATACTTGTTTCTCAAAAACATTATATACAATATTAACAAACATACAACAAAATGAGGAAAAATTCAAGAGAAAGGTTAAACGGAACTCACCAGCTTTTATCATATTCCGACAGTGTCAAGAAGCTCCGAGTGTTGAGACACAGAAACCAGTGAGTTTGCAACAATGGCACCACTAGCAGCAACTGCTGGGACTCCGATACCAGGGAATGTAGAATCACCGCAGCAGTAAAGCTGTGGGATTGGAGTTGAATGTCTTTAAAGAGTTAAGATTGGCTTAAGTATATTGTGCATTATCACCAATAGATGATGCATTTTTAGCAAGCCTCACCCAAGCCCTCACATTCACACGTGGGAAACTTTTTACTGCAGTCTGCAGTTGGTAAACAAGGATCAGTTGTTTAGCAAGGTACAGAATGTATCGTCAAATATTCAAATAATTCCACAAAATCTAGTTTCATTCAATAACGGCTTCTAACCAATTGAAAGGATCTTCTGATCAATCCAAAGATCATTTGGATTCCATTAGTAATGAGGATTCAGGACATCACACATTGATCCATCAAACAAAGATTCAACAACTAAAAGAAATAGCGATTCTTTGGGATATATAATGATATGCAACCGTTAGGTGTGAAATAGTGCACTGGATTATCAGCTTTCAACATGAATTGTGCAAATTGAATAAATCATATCATATATATAATAAATTTGCAAAGTTGATAGCAAAAGTAATCTAGGTTACAGGAAACCTTCTGTTGACTACAAATATAGACAAACCAAACCCAAGAAGCCCATGAAATGAGCAGACATGGAAATTAGGATATTGCATAGGAAAAGGATAGAGGCAATAGAAAAATATATCACAAGCACGTGATTCATGAGAAATTTATGACAGCAGCAGCAACAACACAACAACAATAAGATTAGATAATTTTGGTCAAGATGGTTTATGTTAGACGACCCAGTGACAGTAAAATGCTTGATCTCTCACATCTTTCCCCAAGACCTTACTGTGAGAAACTTGAACCCAAAGGATAATAGGACTTGAACTTAGATTTGTCTAACATGATATCAAGGCTTTGATCCTATAAGGTATTAGATTATCTAGAAAGACTTGAACCCGAGACCTAATAGGATCAAAGCTACCCAAAAAAGTTAAGGCTATTTAGGATTTGGGCCAAACAACACATATCAAGCCATTGTACCCTCCCTCACACGAGACCTCCTTCTCATATGTTAACAAACAGATGAACCAAATAGGTTGCAAATGTACTAACATAAAAACAAGGTGCAAACAGTAAAAATATAATAGATGCTAAGCAAAAAGCATAATGGTGGAAAAAATAAACACACAGAGACTTGAACCCAAGTCCTACCAAAACTAATGCTTTGATGCTATGTCAGACAATCATCTCCCCTAAATGCTCAAGTTTAACCACTTGTCCATTGAATAGAGATCAACATGGTTCATGTTGAACAGGGACATGAAAAATATTTTCTAAGGTAGTGAAATAAGACTTGGTGGCCTACATAACAGAAACTAACCCACAAACAGTGCAATGGCCAAACAGAACTTTTGCATCTGATATTGAATAGTTGGGGAAAACAAAAAATTTTTTTTGCTGACATGAGAATATGTACAAAATAAATCTGCCATGGATATGGAACATCCTCAGATCTAGAATTCATAATGGATTTTGTAAAGAAGCACCTCACTTAGTGAACAAAAAGCTTCTTTCCCCCCTCCCCCTAATAATCATAAGCAAGGCTGGTTGTTACAATCACTCACCTCTGCATCAAAACCCAAATGAAGATGCATAAATGATTCACATTGAGGGGTCATTTTGATCCTATCCTGGTATGACTTTGGAATGCCTTCCTTAGGCAATAGATCCAATGTGTCCCACATAGAGGTATTACTAACAACAGCCTTCTTAGTGCGTACAAACTGCAACAAATATTTATTTTTATCAATTAATGAATAAGAAAGAAATATAATTCAATCTGAATGAGAAATTTTGTATTTTTGTCACTTAAATCATTTCCTCACTTGACCACTTCTTAGCTTTACTCCCACAGCTTGACCATTTTCAACAACAATATTTTCCACATGACTCTTGAAAGAGATCCGTCCACCAAATTTCTGTAGTCCACGGACAAGAGCATCAACAACTACCCCAGTTCCATGAATGGGATACTCCAGACTGCAACCTGGCTTGTACCATTCTGCAAACATGTATACCTGAAAAGATTGAAGCACAAAATTATTATGTTATCAATAAAATAAGCAGCACAAGCATACTTATATTTCATAATCATACCACAGTTCAAACAAAATCAAGAAAAAACCTTGATATGTAATAGTTACCATCTCTGCGGACAGTATACCATTAGATTTCACCCCTGCGAGCAAGAAAGCCAGAAGATCTATCCAATTTCGTATAAAAGGCACTTTCAGCTCCAATGAGTCAACTATTTCTAAAAAGGGTCTGAGAAGCTTCATAGCACTAAGGGCTCCCTGAGGTCCCATTTGGGCAAAGGATTTCAAGAGAGAGGGGGCATATCTAGTTGCAGCAGTGGATAGAACACCCCAATCACCTCGAATAGATAAAGGTGACAGAGCCATTGCAGCTGCAGACATTGGCAATATAGCATCCTGTACAGAAATGCATTTTATATTCTTGATAAGAGCAATAATAGGGAATCAAGAAGGCAACTTTTGCAAAATCACGTATCCAGGATATTGGGCAATCTGTTAATCAATGTTTTGTGATGCGGCCTTGAGCTTTTAGCTTGATAGGTTGGACAACCTCAAATACGAGGGAAGTAAAATTTTTTGCTCATTCTCAATTTTGAAAAGAAAATGATAGCAAAGATTTTCCTTTTCTACTTTATTAAAAAAATAGTCTTTCTATATTTAAGAAAAAGAAAAAGAAAAAGAAAAAAAAAAAGGCTGATGAGGAATAGAATATATACTCATATATACACAATACTTACAAGAAGTTTTCTCCATTCTTGCGCAGCATCAAGACTTGCATACTTCTCAAGGTCCTGAAGAATGATTAGAAGTCATATTAAGCAATTTTCCAGAATTAAGATAACACAATAACAGGGCTATAAGTGATTTCTTGTTTCAAAAAGTTCATCTCAGTTATGAAGGTGACGCAGCTACATATATGCAATTGATTGTGTCTGCTAATCTTGATGTTCAAGTATTTTTTTAGTTTATAGGATCCATAAGAAAATTGATTGCTGAAATCTCTTATCATAAAGTTTTTTTATCCTAGTGTTTTAGGTTTCATAAAAGTTATAGAAAAACCAAGATTGGATACTCTTTCTTTACCCTTCGTAAGGTGTGTATGGAAATTAGGTATGAATGGTGATTCACGCAGGGTAACTTGGCTTCATTGTGAAGAAGAAGAAGAAGAAGAAGAAGAGAGAAGCTTGAAGTTCGCAAAGTTTAACCAAAATAAAAAAAGAAAACCTCAAATCCTCACAACTCAACTCTTTCAAAGTGAAAGATTACAAGGATTTTTATCGGCTGCTATACTTCTACTACCTCAACTAAATTTTGACTACTTATAATATATTAATATTCAAAACCTAACGTTGGCCAAATATAATTCCCAAAAATATAGCTAAACGCATATTATGACCAATAGATCAAAACAAAGGCCCATATCCAAAAAATTTAAAGACTACCAACTTAAACTCGTGATACCTAATAAAGCTAGAACTGATTTCAAACCAACAGCCAACTAACCCATAGAAACCTAAAAACAAGACTCAAATTAAACCAAAAAATAATTGCAAGAGTTCAAATAGGTCCCCATGTGAAATTTTCAATCTGCCTCTGTTCTTTTATCTATACTCTGCTCACCTAATTTAGTAATTTTCATAATGGTGAGATTGAATTTTTTTTTTCAGTTCTTATCAAACGATAAACGCCCGGTAGCAACATTAACAAAAAATATATATGTTCCTTTGGTTTAGTTTTTCTTTAATTACCTGAAGAAGCAAGTCAAATATGCATGATTTTAATGGCTAGAAAATAAAAAAGTGTTTCATGTGTCTTTTGGAAAACAGTATCTAAAGCATAATGCTTCTACAAAATAAATTTTACTTGTTTAGTCATCAATCAGAAGGGTAGCAAAATCCTAGGACGATGACCCATGAAATTAAGAAATAGAATCAATCTAACATGATACCAGAAGTGGATATTGAGTGTCTACCTTAAAAAATTCAGTTGGTTCAATGCGTGATAAGAAGTCACCTTCAGGTAAGTAAACCATCCAAGAGTCATAATTGGCACAAGGAATTGACTCACCTAATGCATCCAAAACCTAAAAATAGAACAGATGCAATAGTTATATTTTTTTCACATGGAGTCCACGAATCTAACTTCTTGCAGCTTCCAAGTAGAATCTATGCTAAAAAGAGACACATCCATTAATCGTCACTTTGTCAGTTTCTACTGTAACCTTCGGAAATAGCATACACGTGATTGTTAAAGACAAGTACCATACACCACCAAATATTCTTGTGTCCATCAAAAAGTTCTTACATAGATGGAATAGACAGAAAATATGCTATCACAGATTACATAACAAGGTTAATTAATGAGAATGAAGCAACACAAGGAATTGGATTTAATGACGTCAATGCAATGACATTAAATGTATTCCACAAAGAAAGTACAACATCTATTGAGAAATAGAATCATTCCTGCCCTTCACTGAATAGTCAACCACCCACCGTGATCAATTACTAATGCAGTCCATTGAATTTTAAAATTGTTGCCAAAAATCAGCTTGGCATTTCACCATCAACAGTGATGAGAATAGCTAGATAGAATAGGATGAATGGATAAGGAAGTGAAAGGTTAAAATTTTAAATAATTGTAGATCCCAGAGAAAAGTGCAGAATATGTTTATTTGCTTAGTAATCTAAATTCCCACATGACTAATTTTTTCATTTCCTTGCAAGCACACAGTTTGTTTATATTCTTTTCATTCATTTCCATACTAAATAGCCCAACAGCGAAGAACTTCCTTTCAAGCGATTGAACACACGCCAAGGAGATAAATGTTGCTGCTGCATTCTTTTTGCTTTCACTAGGTTTAGCCCTACTAGCAGTCATAACTAACCTCAGCAAAAAGGCACTCACCACCACTCCTTCCCACTTCAAATTCTCTTCTTTTTTATTTATTTATTATTATTAATGATACTAGTACTTGAGTTGCATCCCCTATATCAGCTTATGTTTGAGTTGCACCCTTTCTATTATTAGCTTAAGTTTTTTGAAGAGTCGGTTGTTTGCATTTTTTTTTTATATAAATAAATATCTTTGGCATAATTAAAGGGAGGATTTCAAATATATATAAAATATTATCATGAACTACATTATTGAAGGAAGAACTTCAGAAAATATTTAAATATATATGTTTGTCATCATGTGCTACATTATATTATTAATTGTCCATCACATAAATTATGATGAATTGAGTTGTCCAATGTAGAATTCAAAAGGTAATAAACAAATAAAAAGAGCCTCGGGATGCATTTCAGTCATTTTTCAGTTGTATTTTTCTTTTATAGATGTGTAGGTGTATTTTCATGTGGGTATAGTTGCATATCACTAATGGAAGTCGATATAGTTGCAAGCTATAGGCTAGCTTCTAGCCACTCAATAGTTCAAATACTTTAAAGGGTTTGGCTTATCTCAAGTTGGCCATCTCAATTTGAGAAAGCATTGCGCTTGGTAGGCCCATTTTGGGACCAATTTTGGTGATTCGAACCGTTCATTTTTTAGGACTCGTTGAGTAGAATATTCATGCAAAAAATCAAGATGATCAAATATCGATATCTGTATGTTTAAATTAAATTTGTATTACCAAAAATAAATGGCTATTCTTGAAATTATATTTGTAATCCAATTTTTTAAACCAAATATGATTCAAACATATGGCCACTGATGTCCAATCATCTTATTTTTTGCATGAATATTCTACTCAACAAGTCATAAAAAGTGAGCGGTTCTGATCATATAAATCGGTTCCAAAATGGGCCTACTAAGCCCAAATGCTTTCTCAAGTTGAGATGATAACTTGAGAGAAGCCAAACTAAATATGATCTTTTCTTGTCTATAGAGTACAACCAAGCCTAAATACCACCTTTATTCAGATAAGACTGCATTTATGTAAGAAGTAAGGTGATATGAAAAGAACAAATTACTTGTGCTAGAGGATTAGCCTGAGGGCCACTTGATTGGAGTAAGGAGAACAAAGATGGACCGGAGTCGAATTTGTAGCCCTTTTTCTCAAATGAGTGAGCAGCACCCCCAGGCAAACTATGGCTTTCTAACACTAAAACATCTTGCTGGTATCTAGATAGAAGTCCTGCACAACATAGTCCAGCAATTCCACTTCCAATTACAACAACATCTGCCTCTGGCTTGCCTGCAGATAATTTGACACGTTCCTTTAAATTAGAAGACCTAAATAATGCTAAGGAAGCAATTTAAACTCTAAAGAATCTTTCCACTATAATGAAGCCCAAATCTTAGACTAAAATGTGCAAAATTTGGTTTGGAATTATTTTACTTCTCTATGAAATTTTCAAATCACGAATGAATTAAATTGGGCAATAGTTTATTTTTAACATTTCCCACTAGGAGAAAACCCTTGAATTAACCAAGGTGCATTTGCGGGAAACTCCTTGCAGAGGACCTGTGTACCCCTGGGGATTAGTCGGACTTTGATCCGAACACCCCGGTGCCAATCAAAAAAACATTTCCCACGTATCTAATCTAGTTGCATCATAACTTTCCACACCGACCAGAGAGTCCTAAGAGGGGCCATAAGAAGCACTAGAAGACCGTAAGCTTCCTAAATAGGCAATGGCCCTTGTAGAAAGTACATCAAGGAATACATACAGACCTAGCAATCACACAATGAGGTTCCTTTACAGATGTTTACTGTTACTGTTAGGGAAAATATGTGATTCCCCACAAGTAAATCAACCAATGGGAATAAAAACTAATGCGAAAAAAATTAAATATGTGATTCCCCACAAGTAAATCAACCAATGGGAATAAAAACTAATGCGAAAAAAATTAAATATGTGATTCCCCACAAGTAAATCAACCAATGGGAATAAAAACTAATGCGAAAAAAATTAAATATGTGATTCCCCACAAGTAAATCAACCAATGGGAATAAAAACTAATGCGAAAAAAATTAAATATGTGATTCCCCACAAGTAAATCAATCAATGGGAATAAAAACTAATGCGGAAAAATTAAATCAAAAGCGACACAAGAATTTTTACGTGGTTCCCTTAATGTGAGGTATGTCCACAGGATCGAAATCTGATTCCACTATCAACCAAAAAGTTTCCAAACGATTACAAACGAGGCACGAATGGTCTCACAAAACCACCCTTAGGTGAATTCCAAATAATCACAAATAAACAAGGGGAAAGACCTCACCAAATAGATGAACAAAAAACCTTTAAACCAGAATTGTAGAAGATCCAAAATAATAATCCAAATCAGTGTCACTAAACATCAACCGAAACCACACCACCGAATCAAAACCGCAGAACCATGCTTGTCACAATGATCATAAAAGTTGGGTGCTCACCTTCGGGAAAGAATACCAAAAAATAGGGCAGCCGCACGGTACTAATTTTTCTTGGAAGACTAAAACAATATATATATATATATATAATGTTAAATCTTGGACTTGTTTTATCAAAACCCTAGTTGTATCCAAATTGAATTGGGTTTCCACAAATTAGATATAATATATAAAAATATATTATAACTAATATCAAACCAAATTAAACTCTTTTAATAAACCAATTAGGTCCCACACTCCAATAAGGAAGTATACCCAACAATTCTCCCCCTACCGACTTAGATGGAGATATCAACCATACCCGCCAAAGTTTGACACTTCAAATGTTTGTCAATCGACAAAGTCTTAGTCAACATATCCGAAATATTATCATCTATGTGAAGCTTTTCTAGTTGCAACAATTTCGAATCTAACACATCACAAATCTAATGGTATCTCATATCAATGTGTTTTGATCTCGAATGAAAAATAGAATTTTTGCTCAAGTGAATAGCACTTTGACTATCACAATAAAACACATACCTTTCTTGCTTCAAACCCAACTCTTGCAAAAATTTCTTCCACCATAACTCTTCTTTGCAAGCTTCCGTA